TTCATCCAGCTTCACAGGATACGCTTCTTCATCCAGCGTCACAGGATCTTCAGCTTAATCCAGCTTCACAGGATACTCAGCTTTATACAGCTACACAGGATACGCTTCATCATCCAGCGTTACAGGATCGTCAGCTTAATCCAGTTTCACAGGATACTCAGCTTCATCCAGCTTCACAGGATACTTAGCTTCATCCAGCTTCAGAGGACACTCAGCTTAATCCAGCTTCACAGGACACACAGCTTTATCCGTCTTCACAGGATTTTTTCTTTCTTCCAAGACACACAATATGTCTACTTCATTCATTGAGGAAACAAGTCACACAAGAATCGATTTACACAATCGATTACTAGACAACCAAAATGAGCTTCAAGGACAGATCCAACAGCTCATAAAGAATTATGGCAAGGATTCGGTCGAACGACGCCACCGAGACGGGTTTTATTTCGGTAAGCTAAATCTCATAAACGATTTTTGGCAGCAGTTTTGCGACCTAGATGAAGAAGTCCAACAAGCGGCATTACCCACTGGAAGTGAGTACTCTTCACGATTAGTAGCACTTAAGGAGCTGGTCGAAAAATATCAGAAAATCTTTCTGGGCAACATGCCGACTGGAAGCGGACTTCCGAAGGCCCCAGACGAACTTCGGCTAATCTCAAAATCACAACAGGAGATCAAGTCAAAGGAGATTCCGCAATTGACACGGTGATCCGACAGTTGCAGAGAAGATGCAACGAATTGGAGTCATCATTAACATTAGCATCGAACGCCCCAACCGTCACCCCAGCCCTACAAAGGCACCTGGATCTCCATTGGACAGCACACCTGGGGCCGCAGCTCTGGCAGAAGCAGAGCTAGCCCAAATCCACACATTATACGAAGAATACGAAATGAACCTTCTTCGAGAAAACGACGCGCCAATGAGCCTAAACTTGGTACTTCCGCCAATTAGCATTCCGGAGTTTAACGGCGAGTATCTAGACTGGCCACGGTTCCATGATCTCTTTGTGGAGTTGGACCATAATAAGACATACTCGGCCTGTCAAAAACTACATATCCCACAGAGTTCGCTTCGTGGTGAAGCGATGAACGTTTTGACAGACACAGCCTTCTCACAGGATGGCTATAACGACGCCTGGTTGCGTCTAAAAGCCAGGTAACAGAACGGAAAAATACGAGTATTCGCCGCCATAGCAAAAATTATTGACCATAAGCCTATAGACGGCTCCTCGCGCCAACTAAGGGCCTTACATGAGTCTATCAAAAACTCAATGAGTATTCTTAAAAACCTCGATGTCAGCACAAAATCCTGGGATCCAATCTTGTGTTTTATTATTAAATGAAAACTAGACCAGCAGTCTCTAGCTGCTCTAGAAAATTCAGCGGATGCACCAACGGAAATTTCCGCGCATATTTATTTTAGCTCCAAACATAAATTGCAATATAATACAAAAACAAGCAAGTTCACCTACTCCACTTCTCGCGACAGCACCACCCTTTAGAAATTTTTAGAACTTTGTGGATTTGAAGTCCCCTTAACATTAAAAATTTATTGAGTAAAACATTGACAGGTGCCACGGAAGAGTAATAACGATAATGGCTAATACAAATGGAATTAATTTTAGTAATTATTATAATAATTAATTATATTATTATTAATATAATTATTATTTTAGCGGAGAGTATCGATTTTCCAATGGCAAAGGTGCACAAATCATCAAAACGTTGACTTTTCACAACAACCAGGGTTACTACAACTACTGAATGACTCTTCAGGTTGTTAATACAAACACAAGGCTAATATTCGCTGCTGTAAAGCTTATCTTTAATTATAATATAAAAGTTTAAACTTATAAAAGTAGAATTAATTTATTTAAATTATTATGTAGTTTAGATTATATCATCTTCGGACAGAATTAATTCTTGATTCTACTACAACGTATAAAGATCACCCAGCAGTTGATTTTTTATCATGCTGAGAAAGGACATATACAATACGAGTATATGACAATAGCATTCTCTACCTTGTGATAATGCATGAGTGGTAAGAAATCTAGAAGGAAGGTGCCAAAAAAAACTTCCCCACACCCTAAATAAAATCGTCATCAATATGACATTATTTAGATGTCAATATGTATGTAACCGCAAACTTCTATTTGCACACTCACACTAACATTTAAAATATGTATTTAGTATATATTTTATATTATTAGGAATGTACTTACCTGATTCAATATACACTAGCACTAGCTACGGTTATTGGTAAATTTACTTTAGACAACAAATACTTGAATCTAGTATCAAACTGGGGTTCCTTGCTAAGCGTAACTAATAGCGCTTGGATGGTAACTATAGTGCACGTATATATACAGGGGTGGTCAGAAGTATTTTCACAAAACAAATGTTAAATATACTCATAATTTGAACATACTTCATGTTAACTTTTGCATCAATGGAAAGGTAATTAAAATGCCGTTTGAATAATGCAATACTTTTCTAAACCCATTCAGTACTTATTGAAAAGGACGAATTTGGGTGAAAATCTTCTTTTTAAACTTTTTTCCACGTCTTGAAAACTTAAATTTTTTGATGCAAAAAGTTTTTTCTGCTTCTATAGTGTCCGAGATCACAGCGTTCACACGGTCAGAAGGATATGGCTAGATCGACTCGGCTAGTGATCATGATCAAGAATATGTGTAATTTATGAGGTCGGAAACTCTTCCTTTTACCTGTCACATACTTTTTCCCGAATCCAATATACCCTTTTACTCTACAGTACACAAAGAAAAGACGGGTGCGCGTTTGGCACGAAATTTCGCTTCAGTAAAAACCTACATAAAACAATTTTGAGAACGACCAATGTCCAATAAAGTGTCTCGAACAGAATTTAAATATTTTATCAAATGTGACATTAACAGAAATTAAGTAAATCTGTTACATCCCCACCCCACGCGTCTTCGCTCTCTTTGCTAACGCTCTCTTTTTTATTTGCTGAGTATTTATCTACTGGTCACAACACATACAAAGTACAGCCATGTAAATATGACGAATGAAAGATTTTCGCTGCTCTTCCCTTTAAAACATTCCTGAAAATTATTTAAGATAAAAAAAAGTTATTTACGGTTTTTTTGGGTATGAATACAATGTGTTAGATATTTATATCCTTGCAAAGGGTATGTTAATTTCTGTTAGAAGATTGCACACAGTATAGTAGACATTTCAGACCCCATAAAGTATACATATTCTTGATCAGCATGACTGGACGAGTCGAACTAGCCATATTCGACTGTCTGTCCGTCCGTCTATTTATCCCGTTCTACGCAAACTAGTCTCTCAGTCTTAAAGCTATCGGGCTGAAACTTTCTTAAAAGTCTTATTTCTGTTGCAGGTAGTATATAGCCAGATCAGAAAACTATATCCCATAGCTCCCATAGAAATTATCAAAAAACAAGAAAGGATGTTAGCTTCGGCAAGCATAAGTTTGTATACCCAGGCAGTTAATTTTTATACCCGTTACTCGTAGAGTAAAAGGGTATACTAGATTCGTCGGAAAGTATGTAACAGGCAGAAGGAAGCGTTTCCGACCCCATAAAGTATATATATTCTTGATCAGGATCACTAGCCGAGTCGATCTAGCCATGTCCGTCTGTCCGTCTGTCCGTCTGTCCGTCTGTCCGTCTGTCCGTCTGTCCGTCTGACCGTCTGTCCGTCTGTCCGTCTGTCCGTCTGTCTGTCCGGATGAACGCTGAGATCTCGGAAACTATGAGAGTTAGGCTATTGAGATTTGGCGTACAGATTCCTGAGCTTCTTACGCAGCGCAAGTTTGTTTCAGTAGACTGCCACGCCCACTCTAACGCCCACAAACCGCCCAAAACTGAAACTCCTACAGTTTTGATGCTAGATAGAAAATTTTAACTGAAATGTATTGTTCTCATCAATACCTATCGATTGACCTAAAAAAAAGTTTGCCACGCCCACTTTAACGCCCACAAACCGCGAAAACCTGTGACGCCCACAATTTGGATGCTAGATGAAAAATTTTAACTGAAATGTATTGGTCTCGTCAATACCTATCGATTGATCCAAAAATAAATTTGCCACGCCCACTCTAACGCCCATAACGCTTAAATCTGTCTACCGCCGGTAGGTGGCGCATTTTAATTTCGCTTTGCTGCTTGCATATCTCCATTTCCCTTTGAGTAACGGGTATCTGATAGTCGAGGTACTCGACTATAGCGTTCTTCCTTGTTTTAAGTTTAAAAATACAAAAAATGATATTCCCAATAGTATAAGATAACATGTCAAAAAACGCCGAGGCTATAATTTGTTACATATTATTTTCACACCAATTTTCCGATCATTTCTATGGCAGCTATATGATTTTGATAAAATTTAATTCGAAATTCCGAACTAATTAAAAAATTTTGTTTCCAAGCGTAGGAGGTTATATGTTAAAAAACTCCAAAAATATAATTTAAAAAAATTTTTTTTCGATTATTCCTCTGGGAGCTATAGGATATAGTTGTCTAATCCGGCTGGTTTTGACTTATATACTAACTGCAAAAGAAAGAAGACTTTTGGGAAAGTTTCAGCCCGATAGCTTTAAAACTGAGAGACTAGTTTGCTTAGAAACGGACGGACATGGCTAGATCGAATCGACTAGTGATGCTGATCAAGAATATATGCACTTTATGGGGTCGGAAACGTCTGCTACACTGCGTTGCAAACTTCTGACTGAAATCATAATACCCTCTGCAAGGGTATAAATATATATTCATAATGCCAAAACCCGTCTAGCAGGTCCATCAATACACATTTACATGTCGTAAATTATTCAATTCGGACCATTTATTAAAAACTTATAGCTAATCAATAATGAATAATTATCAAACTTAATAGAGTGCGAGAAAATCGCCGGCTTGCGAAATTTCACTAGCGTTACCTAGGTTTGAAGACATGCGGCGTGATAGTGAAATCTATAAGACAGCCGATAGGAATGAACGTTAGATGGCGCTTTTTTGATAGCTAAGTAATCTGGTATCTGATAGCCGAGACCGTCGATTAAAGCGTTTTCTCTTGTTTTAATTTTAATGTTCTATACTTACATACAGCTTATTTAGATAAATGTATAAACTAGTATTGTAGGATTGGCGTCGCTTCCAGATCAAAAACATTCCAAAGCAATAAGAAAACGGAACTAACATAACGTAGCGGCTGCTTCGGATGTTTATTTGTAGCTTCAGAGTGCTTTACTTCCAATTTTTTAAATGCTGTGAGAGCTAATTCTGTCCACAGTATTAAAAGTTTTTGAATCCAAGGACATCTTCCATAAAATTATTACTAACACCACTGTCGCATTCGTAGTAAAAGCATGAAGTCGTGAGCCTGCATTTCTAAATATTCGAGGTGTATGTGGTGATGGTATGGGTCCAGGCGGCCGGTAAGTCTTTTCATATCCGTTACGTGAGGGTAGATCGGTAAGTACTGAAATGAGTAAAAGATTAAATGTGCCGTATGAAACAAGGAACAAGAAATATAACATTTAAAAGGATTTTCTTTGTTAAGTTCCTTCTAAATCTATATTCCATTAGCCACAAGTGTCAGTGTTAAGCTAAGAATACGAATGTACTGATAGGTATTTGCTAAACATCTGCTTGGATGGTATGCCAGCATACTATGAATATGGAAATCACACAATGAAGCTAGTTGTATTATTATAAGTGTACTTTGAGTTTAGCAGCAAGTGCCATAGAGTATAATGAGTAAAAGTGAAAGAGTTATTATTCCAATTACTTGAATGCTTTAGGATCTTATCGTTGTTGTTAGTGAAAACGGGCGCACAAAATTGGACGGGATAGAGAAGACAGCTATTCTGTATCTATTTATACAAGTTACTCCTGGTGTAAAAGAATAAATTGTACTCGGGGAAAAGTATGTAACAGGTAGAAGGAAGTTATAGTTTCCGATATCTCGGCGTTCATACGGACTGACGGACAGACGGTCAGACGGACATGGCTAGATCGACTCGACTAGTGTCCAGATCAAGAATACGTATACTTTATGGGGTCGGAAACGCTTCCTTCTGTCTGTTACATACTTTCCGACGAATCTAGAATACCCTTGTATTATAATCACGAAATCTTTGCCATTTGCTGTTTACTTTATCGATATTCTCTGTTATTATGTACACTCTAACATACCAAAAATACCACAGCTATACAGAGCCGAATAAAGTCAGTTGGACATTAAATCTCAACCCGATCTGTCGTCTCCTTTTAATCGGAACACAACATTTTCTGGCGACGACGAAAAAAGTGCCGCAAAATTTCATTTTGTGTAATTCGTGTCGGTAGACTAAAACAACAGTGATCGAACGCAAAAATAGTGGTTGTGAACTTAGCCAGATCGGGAGAAATATCCGTGTGCCCGCCTTTTCCAAACTTTAACAAAGAAAATCAAAATTGGGAAACGTACCTCCAACAATTAACACATCACTTCTCCGCTTACTCGGTACAAGCAGCAGATAGGAAAAAATCGTATTTTCTATCGTGGGCAGGCACTCACATATTTGAGCTTGTAAAAATCTGTTTGGTAGCGAAAACTTGGACCAGCAGACTTATGAACAAATAACGGAAAAACTAACAGAACAATTCAAGCAAAAGCGTCATTTTGTTGCTGCACGGTTCGAATTCTTCAAACGTCAGATGCGGGACTCACAGACACATAAGGAGTGGGTCGCCGATCTACGTGGTATTGCTAGAGAGTGTCAATTTGTTTGCCAATTCGATGGGTGTTCATTTAATTACGTTAATGAAATGATCCGCGATTAAATAATTGTGCACACTCCATTCGACGCAATTCGCACAGCCGCAGAAGTTGCAGACGTCGCTCGAAAACGTTCTCTCAATTGCCGAAACTTACGAGGCAACAACAAAGACAGTGGCAGTAATCAAAGAGAGTGAGAAGAGAGCTCTTGATACAAAAGCAGTATACACACAAAAATCAAATCATCAAAAACGCAATTTTTCTGATGGTAAAGGCGGCAAAACTGCTTTAAAATCGTGCTCTGGCTGCGGTCACTCTCAGTTTCAGTTTGCCATAAATGTGCCAGAAAGGGGCACATAGCTGTCGTTTGCTTATCCAAGCAGTGCAAAGACAAAAAAGACACCGATCAACAAAAAACACGAAACAAAAACGCAGAGTCAATTCAAACAATTTACAACGTGTTCAGCTTGGTCAAGTTTGAAGGAAACAAAACTGGGATTGAAGTGGAGCTCTTCAATACAATCGTATCCTTCCAAATGGGTTCTGCTGCAACGGTGTCAGTATTGAATGTCAATACATACAAAAAGCTAAACAGCCCGAGACTGCAGAAGTGCGATCGAATCTTGCACGCATTTGGCCAACAACAAATTCCTGTACTGGGTGAGCTAAACACTGTAGCAAAATGTGACAACAAATTGGAAAATGTGGTGATAATTATGGCTAATGTGGAGAGTTCCAATAATCTGTTTGGCTTGGATTTGTTTAAAACATTCAATTTTGAAATTCAGCAAATCGCCAACGTCACTGAAAAGCAGGGGACTCAAATGACAGATCTTTGCCAGAGGTATAAGGAGGTATTTGAGCCGGCTATTGGTATGCAAGCATTTACCTTATACCAAATTCCGTACCAAAGTTCTACAAAAGCAGGCAAATTCCGTTTGCCCAATTGAATAAGTTCAAGGAGGAAGCGAAGCGTCTCATAGAAGCAGGTATTTGGAAACCCATAAAAGTTAGCAACTGGGCATCGCCAATGTACTAGCACCAAAGCCAGGTGGAGCACTACGAATCTGCGGCGATTTCAAGCAAGGCGTCAATTCCCAATTGGACATCGAGCAATTATCTCGACGACATAACTATTTCGGCTCCTACAGTGGACCAACACCTAGCCAGACTTGAACAAATGTTATGCATTTTACAGGCGAATGGCATAAAATGTAAGAAAGAGAAATGTTTCTTTCTAAGGGATAAAATTGAGTACCTTGGGAGAAGGGTCAGCGTTAAGGGCATCCTTCCGAACTCGTCAGGACTAGAAGCCGTTAAGGAATTAAAGCCGCCCTCCAATCTACAACAGCTAGATGCGGGAAAAGTGAACTATTACTGCAATTTCATTCCAAATTACTCCCAGTTAGCTTCACTCCTAAATCAATTGAGTAGAATGAACATACCCTTCAAGCTTGGACCAGAGCAACAGCAAGCTTTCTGAGCTTTGAAGAAGCATAATCTTCCGCTTGTTTTAGCCACAGATGCATCCTCTTTCGGCATTGGAGTTGTTTTTTCACACATACATCCAGATGGCAAGGAAAAGCCGATAGCCTTCGCATCGAAAACCCTTGACGTTCACCAAGTCCGAAACAGCCGAATTGAGAAGGAATCCCTTTCAATCATATTTGGGGTAAAGAAAATTCATCAGTATTTACATGGCAGGAAATTTATTCTCTTAACTGATCACAAGCCGTTAGTCACAATCTTTAATCCTAGCAAGCATTTGTCAACAATGACTTCAAACAGACTCCAGCGTTGGGCTATAATATTGATGGCTTACAATTTTGATATTAAATATCGCTCAAACACAGCTCATGAAAACGCAGACGCACTCTCACGTCATCCTATAAGCTCAGATCCCCTTTTCGATAAGGAAGAGGAATGTTATAACATCGTCGATATATCCTGTCCAATAAATGCCGATATCATCAACGAATGTCTAAAAAGCGATACAATTTTGCAGAGAGTATACAACTTCGTATCAACTGGTTGGCCAGAACAACAGGATGATCCCGAAATACAATTACGATCAACAACAAGCTGCTATGTCTCCATTCTGATGTCAACCGAATTATTATTCCTCGCAAGCTTCGAAGTAAAATTCTTATACTTATTCACGACGGTCACTGGGGAATAGTACGGATGAAACAACTAGCACATCAGCATGTTTGGTGTCCAGGTATCGACGACGACATAGCACAACTAACTAAGAGTAGCACCGTTTGCAAGGTAAAAGCCCCGGTAAAAGAGTTTCAAAGCTGGCCAAAAGCTACAAGTGTCTGGGAAAGGATACACACAGACTTTGCGGGTCCTATATTTGACTCAATGTGGCTGTTTACGTCAAAAGGGCGTTTAATTTCAGGAGGCAGTGTCGAGCGGCAGTTTTATCCAGATGTCTACATCTCGCGCGCTCGCACTGCCGTCCGCTCTCCCTCTTCATCTCTCCCTTAAGTCTCCGCTCTGCACTGGAGCGCTTAAGTTAAGTTAGGCTTAAGCAGTTCTTATTTCAAAGTGTACTAATAAACACCTACGAAAATCGCGTAAAAACCCAAAAGTACTCCCGTGTTTTTTTGAGTACCATTCAATCTTGGGGCTTCAACTTTTTCCAACGATCAAGCCACCCCGCCCCAACATTTTGGTCCAGTCGAAGCCGAATTTCAAAATCTTTGGATTTTCCTCTCCTGGAGTTTCCTTTAATTTTGTCCCAGCAGGCTTGAAACGCTCCAGATAAGTTCCACTTACTATAACTGCCGGTCATACAGCCAGTTTTCCGAACCCTATTTCGACTAACTTTCTGTATGATATATTGTCTAAATCCAAAAGTGATTAATCCAACGCAACGGCATTTAATATATGTATTTGAATTCCGTTACTTGTTCCCGACAATATTCCAGTTTCCCTTTGCCCACAACTGTACGCTTGAAACAATTCCAGAAGATATTTCAGTGCTACTATTCAACAAAAATATTTCTCAAATATATTATCAATTCCAATTGTGTGTAAAATATAACTCAGCTACAGTAAAAAATTCCCGATCATAAAGATTGTCCTTAAGATTTGCACACTTTATTTGTATGTGTATATTTACATAAATATTCTTATACAGACCAGTCTAACTACTCTTTCTAATACAGTCCACTCCAACTACTTTTCTCGACCTACAAAAACGGCTAAACTTTGAAGCCACTGTGAATGCTCCAGGTGCTCCTACCCCAACAACAAAATCCGTCGCGACCACCTCAATTCCTTGTGGCAAACGGTAAAGGCAGCATACGACATATGCTCCGACTGCATTATAGCTGCAGGCGAGAGCGCCGCAGACACAAAATCCATACTAAAGTCCAAGTATTACCAAACGTACTCCACTTACGAAATATTTGCCGCCCAGCTGATGGAACAAATCCAAAAAGGCTCCTCCCAAATACCTCAAGCTCCAGTAATTCCGTCCCAAAATTCCACGTCTTATGGCTGTAGGCTCCCTCCTATCGACACAGAGGTTTTCTCTGGGGATTATCTTCGCTGGCCGACTTTCCGGGACCTTTTCACGGCAATATACATAGACAATCCGAGTCTAACGCCCGTGAAAAATTATTTGATTTAAATTCAAAAACAAGTGGCGAAGCTCATTCCATAGTTTCGAGATCCCCACTCACCAATGATGGCTTTCGCTCAGCCTG